CCTCAGCCCAGTACCTCGCACATGGCAAGCCATCATGGTTGTTTGCTGTTAGCATGAGCCAAGTACTTTCCCAAACGTGACTCACGCTCCGCTGCCCGCTTTCACGGTCGTTCCCCCTCCTCTCACCGCTGCATAGACGCGATCACCCTCACTAGGTGCGTGAGGTGCTGACAACGCTCCAGGGTACATGTGATATTATATCTACACAGGTGTCTCTCCACCGCAGCACAGCCCATGACAGCGAGCACTTGTCTTTGTCTGTATGCGTCCAATACCCAGCATCTAGCAGACAGTCCTGATTTTCAAAAGAATAAATGGGTGACTGTTTGGCCTCTAACAGATGAGGAACGTGGGGCTCAGCAGCCACAAGCGGCTTCTGCAAGGTCATGAGTTGGTAAGTGCCAGAGTCCGGTGCTTTCATGGATGGGTCTCACAAACAACAGTAATATGTCGAAGTTTAATGTCTTAGAGAAAACAGAGAAGCTTGACTAGAGAGGGGACAAAGTAAAGGAGCTATTGAAAATAAATTTCGATCAAACATGCGACAACGGCACGTTCCATTTATAAGAAAAGGCTTTGCCTAGACAGGCACAACCCGGCTTTAAAACAAAGAAATGAAATCAAGCCCAGTCAAACAAGTGACTGTTTTGGAAACGATTCATCCTGTTCCAAGGAACGTTCAGTAACTAATCCTGAAATCTCCTGAGAAGTACTTGGCATGTTTTTTAAGACTTCCTAAATGTTGTTTGGGTATGTATTTTTTGCTTTAACTCGAAGCACTGTTTTAAAACTCAGTGACTTTGGTCTTTGTAGTGTTTTTCTCTTGCAAAGGTTTGAACGTGAAGGTATAACCACAGAGGAACACGACCCTGCTCACTTCTAAATGCATGGATATTTGACTCAAGTTTCAGCGACTTTTTGAATGATTCATTCTCATCCATTTCTTTTTTTTTTTAAGATAGATAATTTTTGCTTTGAAAGAAAGAGTCTTTTTTGTCTCTGTGCCTTTGTTTTGCAAGAACAAAACATTTGTAAACTCCTCTTTAAGAATCAAACAAATCCATTCTTTCTTCTTTTTATATTTGGTGCTAAAAGAAAGAAGCAATCGCCTCTTTCCCCGTACCCCCTTGCACCAACTCTCTTTTTGGCCGGTCTGATGACCAGGCTGTCCCAAAGCAAGTGCAGAGATGCAGAGCAAACACACTATTCGAAGTCCAAGTGGAAGCCGAGGCTGGCCTAGCAGAGAATGCTGTGGCCACCTTCCCTCCACTGAGCCGGTCCTCTCTGAGCTTAATCCATGGACACTAATTGATCTGAAATGTATAAAACTCTACAAAAGAATGACCCAAATCAACATGGCATACTCCTCCCCAATTTTTTATTGGAGCAAAGTTTCCTGTTAAACTAATCATGAAGAAAAGAATATTTCTAGTTATTTTGAAACCCTGGAAAAAAATTTCGAGAGTTAAAAATTTTTCTCTGAAACATTCTTGATTAAACATTGAAATTTGGAGAAAATTTAGAAATGTATTTACTACATATGCTTTTTAACTTAGTAGCATACCAATGCATGCTCTTGCAACTTTTTTCCCAGTCATAAAATGCCACAATGAATTTTACTCTAAATCAAGAAAGAGAGTGACTCAAAGTAGTCACAAAGTTACTGATTTAATTTACCTTTAAATGTTTTATTGTTTTTTTAGAAAGGGAGGTACGAACTATTCAGTAGCCATCTCTTTTGTTTTTACCAGTTCATGAAAAGCAGGCAAAAATGTAAAAACTGAAGAAACCACGAACATTAACATTGAGCACAGAAAGTTACACTTTCTGTACTTACCCCCATTGCAGAGTTGAACTTTCTTTTTTCTAATTTTTTTATTTTTATTTATTATGGCTACATAATACTTCTCTGTATTTATGGGGCAGAGTCAAGCATTCTTTCTCAGCAAAGGAGGCATACAGCCACAGAAAGGTTGAAGCTGGTCAAAAGCACCTTCGTCTTGGAAAATACCTGATCACATTTCTTTTGAGAACTGTCCCCTTGACAGTTACAGCCTCCTCTGGTATTAAAGCTTTATCACTTCACGACTTGCTGCAAACTCAAACGACTAACTTCTTCACACTTTTATGTGGTCTTTCCTTTCTTGGTTTGCTGGTTTTTGCTTTTACTTAATGTAGGCCAATGTCTTTCACATGTTGTAGGAAATCGATCAATAGGATTCAGCAAGAAGTAAGGTGAGCCAAAAGCTGAATTTGCAAAGGCTTGCCACTCGGTTACCAGGAAAATGTGTGTGACAGATTTCCCGGCAAGCTAGACAGACCCCTGGCAGGAGTCCCCGGAAGTAATCTTGATTTTGCAACAATTGTGCGGATCCTGACTATGGGGCTTATTTACTATGCTGCTCAGCACTAGCATCATTGATGCCACATTGAAAGCCACAATTAGGTCCTGAATCCTAAAGGTTTATAATAGCAGAAGGTTGTGAAAAAATGCTACCAATATCTTTATTCTAGTCTTTCGCCCTACTTTGTTCTGTACCTATAAGCAGAGGCAGCTTTAGAGTTACTAACTCAACTGCTGTTACCTGGGTCATTTTTGTAACTCATGTCTGCCAACAGATACAGCTAGTGCGGAAGACAGTGACTTTAGGCTCTTCAGAGGGTGTTACAGTCAAATCCAGGAAAAATTTTCACCAAGTTCAGGGCTTTTGTTTGTTTGGTTGGTTTGGTTTTTACCTACAGATACTTTTTAATTGCCTCCATTAGTTCTGAGTCTTTACCTTCCACCATGTTGAGTCCTACCTGTTGCATTTCAATGTCTGTTTTGCTGGCACTCTTTTCTTCTGGAAGGCAACATTTCCAATATAAATAGTTCTCACATATTCATGCATTTTATTCCTCTGTGACTCTTTCAAAAACTCCTATTCTGTGCTATCTTCCACAAGTGTGAGCCGTAGAATGTACATCCAACCGCACTAATGTCTGTGTGTGGGTGGGTGTGTTTTCTGTTATGATCTGTCCTGCTGTTTTTGTGTATACTTTGCTTTGACAGTCAGCAAAGAACATACTTGAAATGCTCAGCATCTCTTTGATTTCACAGGCCACAATATCTGTTCATTCAAATTTTGGTGAACAGACACAAAGCAAAAACCTGATGGACCGAGACACAAAGTCTGAATGGTGGTCTTATTTCCCACAGCATTTCTGTACCCATCTGTGAGTGTCACAAGACACACATGTTTCAGTGATTTTTCCTGGAACATTTTCCAATACACAGATACACACAGTCACATACACACACACACAACCCTTACTATGTGCCAGACATTGTACTAAAAACTTTGCATACGGTATCTCATTTCACTTCCCTATGAAAGATCGCTCTTATCAGCCTCATTTTACTCATGAGAACACCATGGTTTACAGTAATTTGTCCAAAGTCATACGAGGTAAGTAGCAGAACTGAATTTTGAGTCTAAGGCTCTGTCCTGCCAAAATCTGTGTTCCTAGCCACTATGCTTTAATGTATCCTCTACAAAGCTCTGGTTCCAAAAATGTCTGCTGGGGAAACAATTATACAATCATTTTAGTGATTTACAGAAGTCCAGCTTCAATGCACCTTCAATGATTGAAAATGACAACCCAGAAAAATGATACTTTTCAGAGCTTTTTCTGATCTTGCAGTGCTACCTTATGCTAACATGAAGGCACTGGAAGCTTTTTGTTTTCATTTTTGTTCATTTGGGTTGTTTTTGTGGGTTTTTTGATGTAGAGTTTTATGTCCTGGTCAGTGACTTAAGAGTGTAACTTAGTACAGAAACAAAAGATGAATCTTGAGGTTTGAGAGGGCTAAAAAGAAGTTTTTATACACTGCCTTTAAATGTTTATATTTCATATATCAAGACAATTCTTTTGGTCATTCTAGAACTCTTGGTGAATATGTGTTTCACTTGCAATCATTTTTTAACCTCGGTTGATATACAAGGTGATAGTTTCACCATCTTCATTAAAGGGGAAGAAATGTAGTTAGCTGACTGATAAATATCACTTTATCAGTACAAAGAAATACTGATCATTGTACTCTTTTCCTTTGAACCATAAACTGCAAGAGTGGTTTTATTTAGGAATCTGGTCTTTCATTGCGTCGTTTCTGTTAGAGTCACTGCCCGAGAGCATTTAAGTAGAAAACTCTGAGGGCTTTCTGAGCACCTTGCTGTGGAGGATGCTTTACTGAATTTGCATCAAGCTCTTCTGCTATTTAATTTTATGTCTGTGGATAGGATCAATCTTACCAAGGCCTATGTAGTGGCCTACAGAGCAAGTGGGTCTTCTGTGTGGGTAAAGCAGGATCTGCAAACTATAGTCCCCAACCTGTACTGTAAGCCTTTGCAAGCAAAGAATGGTTATTACTTTTTTTAATGACTGCAAGGAACATAAGAAGAAGAATATTCCATGACATGTTAAAATTATCCAAAATTCAAATTTCGGTATCCATAACAAAGTTTTATTAGGACACAGCCACCATCACTCATTTGTATATCATCTGCAGTTGCTTTTGCAACACAAAGAAAGAGTTGAGTGGCTGATATAGGCCCCCCAAAGCCTTAAATATTTACCACCTGGCCCTTTGCACAAAAAGGTGGCTGACTCCTGGTGTAAAGAATATACACAGTTATGTGGCCGGTGTGGTGGCTCACACTTGTAATCCTAGCTCTCTGGAAGGCCAAGGTGGGAGGATTGCTTGAACTCAGGAGTTTGAGACCAGCCTGACCAAGAGTGAGACCCCATCTCTACTAAAAAAAAAAAAATTAGCCAAGCATGGTGGCGAGCACCTGTAGTCCCAGCTACTTCTTGGGAGGCTGAGGCAGGAGGATTGCTTGAGGCCAGGAGTTAGAGCTTGCAGTGAGTTATAATGACACCAACTGCACTTTAGCCAGGGTGACAGAGTAAGATTCTGTCTCAAAAAATAAAAACAAAAAAGGAAAGAATATACCCAGTTATGTGAATGGCTCTTTTAGACACCAGAGGCCTTCAGTATTTTGATTTGTCTTTGCCTTTTTTCTTACTTGATAACTTTTGAAATATGCAATTTGGGATAGCTTAGCTTTCTCTGTGGATAAAAGTCCAAAGTTGTAGTGTCTTACACTCTTATACAAATTATAGAATAAATAAATTCCGAGGTTGAAAGGGCCTTAAGACTCATCTATTATCAAGCATGTGCCATATACTTTCTTGTCTTCCGGAACTAGATTCGTTGGACACACCACAGCCTCCCCCTGCTGACTGGGGATAGCCACCACGCCAGCCAAGATCCAGGCTGGGGTGGGATCCATGGCTGGGTGCCACTACAGGAGCTGTGAGCAGGGTCGTCCCTTCCAGATGGCCCTACACTGCACACTGCACAGCTGTTGATGCTAGAACTTGCTTTTTGAGAAACTCCCTGAACCCAACTTGCTTTTTCATCTTTTATTTGAAGATGCATCCTCTTTTGCATAGATGGAGTGAACTCCAGGCCGTTGGGTCATCTCCAGATAACACAACAAGAAAATGTCTTCCTGCAGATGGAATCAGCAAGTTCAGGTCTAAGGCAGGCTTCTCCCACGTGACCCTGTCCACCACCACCCACCTCAAAAACTGTCTTCCTCGCTGTTGCTCTCAGTGTTGTTTGACTCGTCTGCACCACTGAAGACATGATGTCTGTGTCATCCGGACACTCTCCAGGGCTCAGCAGCCCGTGGGTATAAACAAGGTCACTTTTGCTATTATACCTTAACCCGAATTTCCTATCCTTGTTCCACTGCTCATAAAGACCTCCAGCACCCCAACGTCCCACACACCCCATGGTATATCTAAAGGTCCCCAGAGATGTCCCCATGTGCTCAAGGGCCAAATTGTCAGACCAGTCACCAGGAATACCTGCCTCGCTCCTCTGTCACTCTGCTTCTCACATGAGCCCTGTAGCTAATAACCATGGTGAAGGCTACCACCTGTGTCCCAAAGCTTCTAATGCTCCGGGTGCCAGAGCAGGACAGCAGTCAGTGCAGGAGGCAGGGAATCTTCCCCATTGGCACCGCTGTCTGCCCCTGGCATCCAAAACTTCCCACTTGTGTTTAGAGCTTCCCAAAGACTCCCACGGAAACAGCTTCTTCAGTTATCATTTATTTGAAAGTTGGCATGATTGTTTTCATTTTACACGTTTAAAAGCAGACACTCACAGAGATAAGCTTCCTCCCACCGTCATCTCCTGGTGGCACAAGGACGCAAACCCTCCCAAGCTGGCTGGTCCTGTTGCTCCTCCAGTCTGTGGTTCATTCAAGTTCTAACTTTCTTCCACCTCTCAAACTTTTCAGATTTCTCTCTTACCAATCTCCACCCTGTATCTTTTAGAAAAGTGAGGAAGCACACATCTTATTTCCAATCTCTTCCATAGGTAGTTTTGACCCACAAGGCTTTAATTGGCTAATTAGTTCAAAAGCTTAAGGAAAAAGGTAATCTCTCTGCCTATTTGAATTATTCAAAAGCTTTAAAAAATGTAGAAAGTTTCACAATTATTAGATCAACATAGTAGAGTTCTGTATAAAATCTTATAAATACTGAAAAAGAGAGAAAAATGATAGGCCCATTCTCATAGACAGAGAAATGGATGAAATTCTACATCAAATGTCAGCAAATTTAATCAAGCATACATTAATGAAACTAATACATGATGATCAAGTACGTTTTATTCTAGAAATTCACTTAGACGAAAAAAATACAAACCTGTGTGTGTGTGTGTGTGTGTGTAGCACAGAAAACATCACACTGGAATAATAACAGTGATTACAATTAGAATGGGGTTGTAGATTATGTTTATTTCTTTCTTTTACTTCTCTGTAAAAGTCATTTGAAATATAATAAGATCGTATTCATAATAGCAAACAAAAAGATAAAATACTTAAGTGATAATCGACAAGTAATCTATAGTACTGATTTGAAGAAACTTCCTGAGTTTTTTTACTGGTAAAATTAAATGTGAATTCTCTTCAAAATAATCTATGAATTTAGTACAACTTCAATCAAATTTTAATGAAGTGTTTTAAAACCTATAAAAGTGATTTTTTAATTTTTTAATACAATGAATCTCATAACAGCCAGTAGTTTTTAAAAAAGAAAGGATAATGAGGGAAAACTTTTCTGCCATATACTAAAAAATGCTTCAAACCACAGTAATTTAAATAGTGTACTAATAAAATAGTGAACTAGGCAGAAGATTTATGGAATAGAAGACCAGAAATAGGCCCACATAGACACAAAATAGATGTAGCATTCAAATTAATTTAGAAATAATGGATAATATAGATGGAATTAGTTGTTAACTAAAATAGATTTCAATTGAATTAAAGTTTTATTGTAAGGATTAAATCACAAATTGATGCTGATTTCAGTTCCTTTTTTACTCTCAATTTTTTCCATGCCAAATCTGAAGGATAACATCATATTCACCATTTCTGTCTATTAATATATCAAAATATCTACCCAGAAAGTAACAAGAAACCACTGAACCATCACCCTTCTCTGGGAAAATCAGTGTCTTATGGAGGAAGAAGATCATCTTGTTTTGTTAGTGAACTGTCATTACAAGGAGAATTTTAATAATATGATAAAAACTTATGATTTCATGTTTGAAATTTCAGTGCTTTATGCACAATAAAAGCTACAATAGCAGCAATATCTGAATCCACTCGTTTAAGCATTACTCTGTTTCTTCAAGAAAAAGTCCTATTTATGGTGCAGCCACTATAGAAATCAGTATGGAAGTTCCTCAAGAAATTAAACACTGAATTACCATATACGATCCAGCAATCCCATTTTTGGTATATATTAAAAAGAATGGAAAGTCGGTTCTTGAAGAGCTGTCTGCCCTCCATGTTCATAGCAACATTATCCACAACAGCCAAGAGAGAGAAGCAGTCCTAGCATCTATCTGCAGATGAATGGATAAACAAAATGTGGTATATACATACAGTGGAATATTATTCAGCCTCAAAAAGAAAGGAAATTCTGACAATGTGGATAAACCTTGAGAATATTATGGGAAGTTACACAAACCAGACACGGAAAGACAAATACTGTGTGATTTCACTTGTGTGAGGGACTCAGAGTAGTCAAATTCCTAGAGACAGAAAGTTGAATGACGGTCCCCAGAGTTTGGGGGGAAGTAGGTAATGCAGAGGTGTTGTTTAGTGGGTTCAATGTGTTATTTTACAAAAATGAAAAAGTTCTAGAGATCAGCTGCACAACATTGTACACAACATACTTATCACTGCTGAAGTGTATACTTAGAAATGGTTAAGATGGTAAATTTCATGTCGTGTGGTCTTTACCACAATTAAAATGTTTTTAAATTAAAAATTGTTCTTTTCAAAATCTCACTCTTTTTTTTTTAGATCCAGGCAATTTTTTAATCATAGGAAGGGGGGGGGAAATCCACATTCAATAATAAGGGTTCCAGTCTAAGACAGAGCCTGAGGTGGGGATCCCATGAAATGATTGAGGAAGCAGTACGGGAAGGCAAGGGAGGAAAGCAGGAAAGAAGCTGGTCTCGGCGAGCTTCTAGCCACAGGCTGGGCCCTCAGGGCTGCTCCCCAGCTGCGCACTGAGTCAGTCCCCTTCCTTGAGCAAAGGGGGCAGACATTTTGTTCCCTGCCCGTCAGTCAGAGCCACAGGCTGCCCTCATTGGTGGTGACGGTGGTGGTAGGCGGGATTAATTTCCCAAGTGAAGCAGCTCTGGTTCCACCAAGGCCCCGGGAGAAAGGGGCAGCCGTGCCATTAGCAGCGACACTCAGGGCAGCTGGGTGTTGGAGCGAAGAGGGTGAGGTAGGGCTATCACCTTAGTCTGTTAGTCTGTTGCTTATAACAGAATACCTAAAACCAGGTCATTTATAAGAAATGAAATTTATTTCTTACAGTTCTGAAGTCCGAGGTCGAGGGGTCAAGTCTAGCGAGAGCCTTCTTGCTGGCGGGGACTCTGTGCAGTGTCTTCAGAGGTGGCACAGGGCATCACCTGGAGAGGAGGCTGAGCGTGGTCACGTGCTATCTCAAGTCTCGCTTCCTCATCTTATAAAGCCACCAGTTCCCCTCCCACGATAACCCATTAATCCATTAACCCTTCAGTTGATTAATCCACGAATGGGTTCATACATTCACGAAGGCAGAGCCCTCCTGACCCAGTCACCTCTTCAAGACCCCACCTCTCAATGCTGCCACGTTGCAGATTAAGTTTCAACATGAGTTTTGGAGGAGACATTCAAACCATTGCAGCTAGTGTTGCCTTTTGAACTAAATTTGAAATTCAGATGAACAATGATTAATTTTTTAGAATAAATGTGCCTCATGCAATATTTATACTAAAGTATTTCCATTTATATAAATATATAATGTTTATATTTTATTACATATCCTATAGTCTAGTCTGTTTTAGGTTATGTTTATGTATTATAACTAAAAATCATTTGTTCTTCATCTGAAATTTCAACTTAACTGGGCATCCTATACTATTAGGTGCTAAATTTGCTAAATTTGGTGACTCTGGGTGGGGCCTCAACACCATCCACTCCAGTGGTTCACAAGAGGTAGGCTCTGTTATGGAAAGTACTTCATTTAGAATTTAGAACAACTCTTTAAGAGCAGGTTTTTCCTTATACTACAAATAAGGCATATGGAAGGTCGCACAGAAATAACTGGAAGAACCAAAATGTAGACCCCAAATATGACCCCTGACCCCAACCAGAATGCACAGCAGCCCTCCACCCCTCCAGCCACTCTGAATGGGACCCCCCCCCCCACCTGGTTCCTCTCCCTGTCATACCAGATCCTCAGCCAGGACTTAGTCATGAGTGAGAAACTCCGAGTAGAAAATTATTAAACTTAAGTGAATCCCAAAAGAGACAGGAAAAACTCCTCCTCGCTCCTTTCCCTCCATCAAGCATCTGGCCAATGGAATGCTCTCTGCACTTCCAGGGAGGGCTGTTGGACTGCTTAAGGCCACGTGGCCCAGAACCAATAGAGATGAGCAATCTGAAACACAAGGGCCAAACTAGGATTACCCTCAGGCCCTGACTCTGTGTGGCTCCCTGTCTCACTAAAGAAAAAAGAGGCTTCTAAAATGCTAAGCCCAGATTTGGGGCCAAGCTTTGTAATAACAAATAGATGGGGACATATCTGAGTGAATAGGTTGCAACCAGAAGAAACAATAAAGTCAAGATAAAATACCAACCCTTGGATTAGGATTCATATTTAGTCTGGTGGGGTCTTAAAAGATGTCGTGGAAATTCTAATAGTCTTACTTAGGCTTATACATGTAAGTATTAGATAATAATATATGTCCTGCCTTCCGAATGCTGTTAGGGATGCACATATCATCTGAGAGTGTATATATACATAGAGAGAGAAAGACCAATACAGAGGTTGGAATAGATTGAAACAGAAATCTATGGAGCCATTTAGAGCATTTGGATACCAGAATTACTAAATCAACTAAGTAGTCAACAATAACGAACAACGAAGAAAAGTGCCCATCAAATGTTACTCATTTCATCATGAAAGAGAAATTTAGCTGTTACAAGTATATTTGCAACTAATATTGCAGAATTTTGTTACACTGAATATAGGACACATGAGGGCAGGAACTTTTTTCTATGTTGTCCCTCGATGAATCCCAAGTGACTGGAATAACACCTGGTATAGGGTAAACACACAATAAATATTTGTTGAATGAATTAAATTTCAGGTTATGAATAACCAGAGAACATGAAAACATGCCAGCTAAGGATTTCATCTAATCAAAAGGAAAAGCTCATAACTTGAACTCTGAAAACTGCAAAAAATGGGAAAAATATTTCCAAAGCAGCTCAAGTAACCTCTCAGTTCAATTCGGCAAAGTTTCTCTGCTTGACAGTGCTGTGTTAAGCACTGGGGAGATACAGATGAAAAAGCAGCAAACTCACCTTCACAGAAAACTATCTTCCATCTCCAGTTTCATCCTTGCTATGGTCTGAATGTTTGCATCCTCCCAAAATTTCTATTTTGAAACCTAAACCCCAAGGTGATGGGGTTAAGAGGTGGGGCCTTTGGACAGTGATTAAGTCACAAGAGCTTCACTGTCTTAAATGGGATTAGTGCCTTCATAAAAGAGGCTTAAGGGAACTTCTTCACCTTTCCCACCATGCCAGTGCACAGCTAGAAGATGCCATCTATGAGGGACAGTCCCTTATCAGACACCAAATATGTGATACCTTGATCTTGGACTTCCCAGCCTCCAGAACTGTGAGCAATAAATTTCTGTTGTTTATAAATCACCTGATGTAAGGTATTTTGTTATAGCAACTCGAGTCAACTAAGA